TTCAAGCACATCCTGAAGCCTCAATACGAACAGTCTCATTGGAGTTGGGTTTTTCATATTCTACATAACAAACAATTTTGCATCGCCATAAACTACATCCTTTTTCATTTATAAGGCTGCAAAAACTACATCCAGGTGATTTTCCTCGTAGAATTACCTTCTGCGAGGACTTATTACTTAAAATACATGAGCAACAACATGAGAAAATATTATAATATGGACCGATGAAGCAAAATTTTGTCAGCAAGGGGTTTACAATAGGCGAAATCGACATTTTTGGGCTTCCGAAAATCCACATATGGTGCAAGAAGTTGAAAATCAAATTCAATTCAGAATAAATGTATTTTATTTTCAAACGTCTTATAACAGGTATTTTTGCGATCATTTTGACAAGGTATAAGAGTCACTTCAATGACTTTCCAGCTTGAGCGGCGTATAAATATAAAACATTTATACGCCGTTATACATATTTTCCCATAGCGATTTCCGGTAGTTCACCTGTACATACAGGTATAGGTATAAAGGTGATCCTTCTAAATATGGACGTCATAATTTAAATTAAAAATTGTGCACTTTTTGGAATACAGATCGTTTGAAAAATAAAATATTGTATTTCATTCGGAATATAAGTATTCTTCATGTGACTTGCATGGATTTGATCCGCCTCGCTGCGCTCGGCGTTCAAACTTCCATGCGCGTCACATAAGTATTACTTATACTCCTAATAAAATAAATATCTATTATTTTCAAACGTCATATAACAGGTATTTTTGTGATCATTTTGACAAGGTATAAGAGTCACTTCAATGACTTTCAGCTTGAGCGGCGTATAAATGTTATACTCCGGTATAAATGTTATACTCCGGCGGAGTATAACATTTATACGCTGTTATACATATTTTCCCTTAACGATTTCAGGAAGTTCACCTGTACTTACAGGTATAGGTACTTATAAAAGGTGATCCTCCTAAATATGAATGTCATAATTTAAATCAAAAATTGTGCACTTTTTGGAATAAAAATCGTTTGAAAATAAAATATTGTATTTCATTCGAAGTATAAGTATTCGTCATATGACGCATAGATTTGATTCAAACTTCTATGCGCGTCACCTAAGTATTACTTTTACTCCTAATAAAATAAATATCTATGGTTTGATGATGAATCGAGAGGTACGCTATTTTTTATGTGATGAAAATTTGAATGGGGAAAAATACTTGGAAATTCTACAAAATGTAGTAGAAACATTTGTAGAAAATTTACCATTGGCTGAATATGCACATTTATGATATCAGATGGATGGGGCACCAGCGCACAACACAATAGCTGTCCATACAAAGCTGACTACGTTATTCGATGACCATTGGTGGGGAAATCAAGAGCCATTCCTGTGGCCTGCGAAATCCCCAGATCTTAACTCATTAGATTTTTACGTGTGGGGTCGGATAAAAAATGTATTCTTCGGCAGTTCAAAACCTACACGACTTGACACATAGAATAGAACAGGCTTTTGACAGTATCGACCTCAATGAAATTGGACGCGCTACGCAATCTGTTGGAAGTAGATTGAAAAAATGTTTTAATCAAAATGGTGTTCATATGAACATTTAATTTAGAATTTATTGTTTTTTTTTTCTAATAAGATTTAATTTTTCTACTTTTTTAATACTAATATCATTGTTTGCTTGTTATTTTGGTATACTCATTGTAAAGATTGTCTTCTGTTTCCATGACATAGTTGACACATCAAGGAATCTTTTGACGAGTTATGCGATTTCTTGATTTTTATGAATAACTCGATAACGAAATAAGTTAGGTATATGCTTAAGTAACGCCCTGTAAAACTCAATTTTCTTTCCAATGGGGTGCCAAGATTCAAGAAACATGATAAGTGACATTTGAAAAAATCGACTTTTTGACCATTAATGATTCCGATGTTTGCTGGTTGCCTGCACCCATATGGTATAAAATGGGCGCACTAATGACACATCTGAAGTTAGCCTGAACTTTCAGCTGATTATCTTCTAAATTTGGGTTTTTATTTTAGAACAGTTTTCGAGTAACCTTGTTTTTCGTAAACAACTGCGGAGGCAATATGACATATGTCAAAAACTATAAAAGATAAGATGACAAAACCTGGGTTGTCCAAACTGAAAGGCCAATCGAACTATGTTGAAAAAGTTGCGAGTTTCTATTTGAAATAAGAAATTTAGTGCTTACCTTTGGTACACCCTTATAGTTAAAGATCTGAAAATATTTAAGGTGATACCGGAACCATGGATTATGGCTACAAACCAAATTTGAAGTTTCTAATTCCCCTATGTCCTCAAAAACTTCTAATGCACGGGCTACTTAAATCACCCTGTATATTATGTGTTAAATATGTTCCATATAATAATGGTGTTATCATCAAAATCTGTGTTTTTTTTTTTAAATTAGTCTGCAAAGAAAAAAAAAACTCACATAAGATTCAGCTCACATTTGGCATAACACCATTATTTCTTAAACCCTGCCAACCAGATATACACCTAAATTATTTTTCATTTTGAGAAAAACGCAAAAAATCGGAAAACTAAAATATTCGGAGTGTAGATAATCGATCATAGAATATTTACGCCAAATTTGACCAATTTGGATGAGTTTTTTTTTTTAAATCTTTGCAGACGAATTTAAAAAAATCAACCAGAGCACAGGACTCACAGATTCGAAATCTGAACGCCCCTTTAAAGCAATATGTGTTTGGTACATTTTCTAAAGTCAATTAGTTTGGTACGATTTGTTGTTAGCAAAAAGAGTATTAGTGGACATGCGGAATTGTTGAAAATTTGATTTTAAAAGTGGGATAATTAACGAGACAATTAGTGTATTAATTTGAGGTAAATAGTAAAATAATTGGCGAAATGACTAGTGGATTAGTTTGAGCCTAAAGCGAGACAATAAATAGAGAGATTTGAGCTAATCAGTCGGATTAATAAGTGAACTTTTGTTGAACTGAAACATAGTAACAGTTACTGAAAACGACATAGCGAAAACCAAGTTCACAAACGGATTTTCTAAAAAAACATTTTATAATGTTCCATAATATGGAAACCATAAGTGATGAGTTTATTACTGGTTTGACATCGGAAAATAAGTCTACAGAGTGATTTTTCCAAAATTTTCCATTCGGAAATTAGATAATAAAATGAAAGGTGCGGAAATTTTGACTTCCTCACCGGACTTTATATTTAATTAAAAACTAAGTTCCAAAAAAGATACAGATTATCTATGATAAATACTAGAGAGCAAACGTTGCTGGACTTCATGGCAAATAGGAAAACAAGAATAGGAAGCCCAGACACTGAAGAAAAAACAAGAAGATGGAGACCGATAAAAAGACAAAAAAAGAAGCCTGAAGAGGGAAAGAAGGGCGAGAAGGACCCAGAAGACAGAAATAATATGACCCAGTAGTACTTTTACAACGACAAGAAGTTCAGAGATTAGAAGCAAAACAAGAACAGCTCCGGCTTCAGGACAATTTTAAATTTGAGCAAGAATAAATTCAAACCATAATCTTTGAAAAACAAAACAGAGTAAAGAAAATCCTGGATGAAGTACGTGGAACTTTTCATCAGAAAGTTGGAAATCTTCGCCAAGAAATGGATAGTGTTCAAAAGAAAATTAAAACGTTAAAATTTGTCTTGGGATCATCAAAATGTTGCAATGGCTAATGGCTGGAGCTTTGAAGGCATAGCTACAGGTTTAATTGTGGCATTTCCTGGGCCTACCCTAAACCGATTAGAGAGTCTTCCACCCGCTTCTCAGCGAAACGATGGAGCACTTGTTGATACGCTAGGGCGTCGTTATGGGAAGTAAAACCCACGGCAGCTTTATAAGGTGCAACTGAGGACAAGACAACAGAAAGCTGTCGAAATAAATTTTTTAAATCGCCTACAAATACAAGAGGCCGATAAACTAGAAGTCGAAAAATTCAATAATGGAATTATTGTACATAGAATGCTGCTCATAACCATCAAGTTAAATAAGGCCATTAGTGAGTTTTGTCGATTAGTTCAAGGTTGTTGTCGTTGAGCATTTTAGTAGACCGGCAAAATGCGTTAGAATACATATATTGGAATATTACACTGCGGCTTTACAGAAGAGCATCGGAAACGCAATGTTCCAAATTAGTAAACCAATCCAACATAGCAACTACATAAACCAGGGGTCATGTACAATATAATATGTTGTTTTTCATACGGGTAACCAAAATTACAAAACGAGTACACTACGGCAATTATTTGGCAGCTATAAGGTATCCTATCATTTATGCCTAATATCAATACTGGAACAAGATTTTCCATGCCCGACATGGGAGACTGCTTAATTATTAAGACTTTTGGTACATGATATTTTAAGAGCCTAGACGCAAGTGACTACTGTCAAGTATTAAATCCATAAAAAAAAATCCATTCAATATCAAGTTCTTACACAATCATTGAAAAAATATATAGTAGGCCTCCAAGCTACTAAACCCATTAACCTTTAAACAACAAGCTGAACTTTATGAAAGGTACCTTGTTATTCCATAAAGCTTAAAATAAAAGTATCGATTTTAAATTGTATTTTTTTAAGGCTTCCTAGCACCATAGGGAAGTGGCGTTTTCATTGATACTTCTTTCCAGCTATTTTTAGTATAAAGATGAAAAAAAATTACAGTTAACATTTTTGCTACCTGTGCCAAGGGTATAAAGTTTATACAAGATTTGTAATTATTTATAGTAGGTACCTACTACAGCAAACGTGAACTATTTAAAAATATTTGTACATAGTAAAATTGTATATTATATTATTATTAAATAACTATTAAAAAGGAGGAATTGTAAAAAAATCTCAAGGATATCCAGGCCTTTGTTATAGCAAAATACAATACAATTCAATTTCCTGCATCGACAAGGAAGACATCTTAATAAGTTAACCGGCAATCATTAACCAAGAAAATGAAATAAAATCCAACTTACCACATGGCTTGTACGGAAACTGGCTTAAAAATATGGTGACTATCACAGACACTGACACTGAAGCCCCTGTAAATAATGAAAAAAGTTTTAGTAAACGTTATGCTCGTAAGAAAGTAATTATGCAGGTATTTAGTTAATTTCAGGCCTTTCAGCCGGAAGTTTCCACCCATGATTGCCAAAATTAAAAGATAGTATATCGGAAATATTAAAATTAATGCCTATATCACAATAGGCGACTGCTTAGCGTAGGACCATTGTATTTGAAAACAAATGTTTTGCCAGACTGCTTGGCGTCTTATTAAAACCGCCAACTATCTTGCAAAATTCCAATTACTTAACGCTGTTATTTTATCTACTACCTATGCAGTATTGTTTTTATCCATCTTGAGCCCGCCTCTGATTTAAGGTCTTTCTCTTTACGGTTCTTATGGCCTGTTTGGTTCCTATTTATTCTTTGTGTCTTATATTTTGTCCATTTTGAGTTTTGCTAAGACCTTTTGCAAGTTTTTTTTTGCCTTATATTTTATATGTTTATTCCTTTTTGACATATCTCTGCAGGTAAGTCTGATATTTAGGAGGGTAGATCATCGTATTCTACAGAGTGCGTGGAAGCAGTCAAAAAATATCGTCGTTAAATTTTATTCCATTCTGAAGCAGCAAAGTATTATTTCGTGCACTAGATAACAAATTTATTTATTTCACAGTGGATAATGTGATATTTCATTGTTCAGTCAAAAATGGGCTTTCATGCAACTGGGATCTTTCTTTTTGCTTATTGGATATAGGTATACTGTTTTTAAAATCCTGAAGTAATATTCAGCCTTTCTATCTAGTTATTTCAAGCAAAACGAGCGAAACCATTCTTGGTGGTGAATTTGTATAAATAATTAAATTACCTTTAAAGGTACAGATATAATCAAGATTTTCCTGGAATCTTATCATGGCAGTGATTATACTGATTATGGTGCAAATAATTATTGATTTAATACTAGAAAACTGGATTCGTAGAGTAGGTATTCCTTTATCTAGGTTCAGAATGCTGTAGGATTTTCCTCTCTATAAAAAGACTTGTGTTATACGAAAGCTGTTTACATACGATTTTGCTTTTGTGGTTGGTGGTTGACCTTACAATTTGAAAAGATATCTACAAAGCTATATTTATGATTCTGAGATCAAAGCACTGCCAAGTTTTTGTTATATGTTGCCGGACATAAAATTAGAAAAATGAGAGATGCTGATACTTAAAATTTTAATGCGATTTCCACAGTGCCAAATTTATTATTTTCTGATAATTGATGGACTTTAACATCTTATATTAACAGACAAATTAATCATCAGTATACTAATGTAATAATAATAATGTATCTTTTCTTAGTCTTATAACGACAAGTAGTTAGTATTTGTCCTGCCAGAAGTCGAAAAGCTTTCCAAAAATCAACAAATGTCACAAATATTGAATGTGGAATTTACTCAATAGCTTTTTCGATTATTGCAATCCAAGCACATTACTTAATTTCTCGCTGGCTGCAGCTGTGCATTTGCATAATTTATTATTCTTATTCCCATTCAATCCTTCTTTTTTGCTAGTGGCCATTGAACTCACAGCAACCACAAATTAGGCCGAACACAACTAAATAATTCATCTATTGATTCCTAATCAAAAATTCCGAAAAGCAAATAGACATCAAGTCACAGGTCGCAACATCAATTTCGATTTGATGTTAGATAATAATAAATAATCCTTATGTTTGTTTATGACTTAAACATTCCATATTGAATATATTGCGCCATATGGTGCATATTATATTAACCCAAATTTTAAAAATAAGTAGATAGTTATGCATTTGGATTTTCGTTTCTATATATCTCTTTGCATTGTAATAATAAACAAATGATATTATAGTAGTGATAATAAACACAGAGGATATTGAACTTATGATTTTTGAGCAAAGAAACTTGCAGTTTTTCAAAAGTTAATAGGGGTAAGTTTGTGGTTTGAGATTATTTTTAAATTAATTTCATATTGTTAGTGCCCTTTGGGCGGTTGACGTGTGTTGTGAGCGTAGAACCTTTCATCAAGGACGCTTGCTTTCGACGACATGGTTGGAGAATGGTGGGCAATGAATCGTTCTTACAGGACGTTCAGTTCATGGAGCCACACCCCCGGCAACCGTATCGACCTACAGGCTAAACTTAGTGAAGAATAGTTAGATATGGTGAATTTTAATGGTTTTCCAATAAGTAAGAAGTTACATAATAGCTGGAATGCTTGAATTAACCAATCAATACCACAAATGGTAGGGTGGTTAGTAATAAGCCGAAAGTTGCCGAAGTGTTGCTAACAGTGACACAGTTGATGAAAAATTTCTATCAATTGCTGAAGGCGAGCAGTAGATTTTTAGCATAGAGTTCCACTCTTAGGTCTAAGTTAAACCAGGCTCAAAAATGAACTGACCACCTCACCACCCTGAAGCCTTTTTCTACCATAGTAACTCAGAGACGACTGATAACGTGGAAAAAGTTGCTATAATGCGGGTATGTTAAAAAAAGATAGGAAAACCCAAGCAGGATCGATTTACACCCCATCACAGCAACTGAATAAAACTAAAAAGAGAAATGAAACGTGAAATGGATGGGTATACACAACTCATTAAATAATTTAACAGAAATATCCGGAAAGATTTGAGAAATTTTTATACAAAGCTCATAAAAAAGACAGTCAAAGATAATAAAAGTATATGGCAGTTCTGATGTCCAAACTATTAAATCAGAAGTGACTGAAATAAGAAGCAAAGAAGTCATAACTGGAAGAAAATCATAGCTGTGGTTCAAGAGCTCTATAGTGAAGCTCCTCACATTAGCCCTGGGAGGTTTCTTTTAGAACTTGGACTGGCAGAGTCGTGGGATCAATCAAGCGCAAGTACATTTTTTTTCTCTTTTGTTTTTATTCACGGGAAGACGCAATCGCACGAGTTTTGATGTCGTCGGTTGAAGTGAATCGAAATTTGCCGATCAAAGTGGATTTTGCTCACAGAAGACAAAGTCTATACTATTTAACAGCAAAATCTCATGGTCTACAGTGTCAAATGCCTTCTGCAAATCCAAAGACACCAGAGAAGATATTTCCACTGTCTATTTAAATTTGAAATAAGATCTATAACCGCTGTCTCGGTGTCCTTGCCTTTGCAGTAGCCATACTGACCCTCATACAGAAACCCAAACTTATCCAAGAAAGATTGAAATCTCTTGTTTACACAAACTTCCAATATTCTAGAAAAAACCGGAAGAACGGATACTGGTCGATAATTGGAAGGCAGTTCATAGTCCCCCTTTTTGTAGAGAGGCTTAACTCTAGCTATCTTCATCTTGTCAGGTATTGTAGCACTTTGCAGAGACAGATTAATGATTTTCACTAAGATAATTGAGCACTCTGTCTTTAGTCTTTGAACACTTTCTACTGTGATGTTGTCCCCTCCACACGCCTTGTTTCTGTCCATTGAAATGATAGTTGTTTCTACTTCTGCCAGTAAAACTGGCTTGAAAAAGAAAGAGTCCTTGACACCATAAGGCCTTTTCACAGGGATGTGTTGAATGTTTTTGGATAAATTGGGACCCACATTAATAAAAAACTCATTAAATGCGGTTGAAATTTCAGCAGCATCCGTTAGGATGATTTCATTTTGTTTCAATGCTGGGATCACCTGCGCTGTCTACTCTTTGTTGTGCAATATTCTGTTGACTGTGTTCCATGTTTTTTTTTTCTGTTCCCAAGGTTCCGTTTAAATTCAGCATTATAGTATCGTTTTTTTTTTCATATTTTACTTGTTTTTTTACCCTTTCACTGTACTCTTTGTGTTTATTTTCATAATAATTGGTATCATGCTTTCTAAGCTTTTTAAAGTAGTGATCTCTTTTCTACAATAATGAGGTAACTTTCTGGTTTATCCATTCCTTCCCAGTGACTTTACATAACTCTTTGACCTGAACATATATGTGCAATTTACAAAAATATCCTCCAATCTATCATACAGTAATACTGGGTCAGTATATTGGGCCAAATTATCGATAAGTTGTACAAGTGTGTTCTGCGCTTCCAAGTAGTTTACATTTTGATATAGGTACCTTATATTTTTTCTCTGGTATTCCATGGGTTTGTTTTGCTTTAGGTAAACTCAGGACCGGCAGCATATGATCACGAAGGCAATGATCAATTAGTGCCAACTCGGAGTCACTTGCAAAATTTGTAGCAACATCAATGAGGGAAGGATGGTTTGATAATCTCGTTGTAATCGTTTCATTTATCAAGTGGTAGTCGCATGATTCATGTATCTCCCTGTAGGTGCTTACAATATTGCCATTTTTCAAAAGGTCCAAGTTAAAATCGCCTATTACAATATTTATAGAATATGATGTACTCTTCAGAAAGTTTTCCAGTTCCCGAACAAATATATTCATATTATAATTTGGGGACCTATACAAAACCGTAACATTCAATTTGTAATTTACAATATTTACAGTGATCATTGAAAGTTCTGAGTTGTGCTCTTTCATAACTTTAAATGTTAATGAATTCCTTATGAAAACTCCAACCTCGCCACCGTGTTTGTCTCTACGCACATAGCAAGCATTAAAGTCAGTTATATTATAGAACTTTTCTTCTCCTGGTTTTAACCAAGTTTCAGTAACAACAACAACAACATGAATTTGTATTTTGAAGCTTCTTATAATAACTTCTATTTCATCAGTCTTGTCTCTCAGGGATCTTGCGTTTATGTACAATACATTGAATCCATTGCACTTAGTTAATACTTTCAAACTACTTTTTATTGAATTAAATTGACGTATGAGCTCTATTCTGTGCTCGAGTCCTCCTCCAGACTCTTAATTTGCGATACATTATTTATTCGAATTACTTCACTTCCATCTTCCTTGCGTGCAAAATTTAGTTTGAAATTCTTGCTTTGGGACATTTATGTCCAGAGCTGTTAGGACTTTATGAATATCTCCAGAACAATTTTCCTTAGTGGTTTGTATTCCCAAGAAGACCAACTTTCTATTTATTTCCTCCTGATCTTCTCTAATGCTACGTTTAGTAATTTAAGGCGACGTTCCGTAAGTTAACCAAGATTCTTGGTTTATCCGGTTCCCGTTCCGTAACCCAACCACTCCTGAAATCTGGTAAGGTTATGGAACGCGGTTCCTGAAAAATTCGGTCCCAACTGTCAGCCGAATCTACCGATCAAAAAGCTTGGTTTTTTCGGTTTGTTTCCAATTTCTGACATTTGTTTATTAGGTTAGGTGATAATGTTTTAATGTTTTTATTTTTATCCGCTTTGAACACGTATTTGCGGTGAAAATGGGATAAGAGAGAGATACTACATTGGGTACATTCAGGCGGTCCCAGCGGCTAAGTTCAGCCACTCAGCAGGGAGTCTATTCTCAAAACCAAGGAACAGCGTTCTCATAAGAATGATTGCTCTGTCATTGTCAGTGTTATGCCAGACGACAAAGACAGAAACTTCGTTCCAATGCGAGCGCTGCTCCCCTGTTTCGAGAATAAAGTCCTGCTGAGTAGCTGAACTAAGCCGCTGGGACCGCCTGAATGTACCCATTCATTCCTGACAAATATATTTTTAAGAGGATAATATTCTATCATCTAGGATCCAAGCCATACCAAAGCTGAACCGAAGCGTTCCACACATAAACCGAATTTTCAGAAGCCAGACTGTTACCATAGACGAACCGCTTCTTACCGATCGGTAACCATTCGGTAACTTTGGTTAAGATACGGAACGCCACCTTAATAACTTCGTTTTCAAGGGCTTGAATCCGTTTTTCCATGCCATTGCACTCCTTTTTCAACTGTTCGTTTTTCTTTGTAAGAATTTTCACGGAATTTTTCAGGTCATTCAAGCAATCTCCATAGTACGTAAGAGACTTCTCAAACTCAGAAAATCTTCCATTCAGGACTTTCATTAGGTCACTATTTGTTGGATTGGGCTTTGACGACAATTCTCCTATATCGTTTTGTTTTTGTTTGTCTCCTCTGTTGTGTTGTTTGTCAGGCTCTTCTGATTCTGTCGATCTTGACTTGGCTTTAGCTCTCAACTCTTTTTTCCCCGAAGATGATTTCCGGGCGGACACATTTCTACTTAATTCTTCCTCTTCCTCGCTGGATGAGCTGTAGCCACTACCGCTTTCGCTACTGACCTCACTTTCCCCCATGCAATTTTTGCATTTCCAATTGTGGTTTTACTTTTTAAGGATATCTTCCAACTGATTTTCAGATAGACCAGTGCACTGTTCGTGAAAATAATTACCACAAACATCGCTGCATTTTAAACTAACTGAATTTTTAGTCTCATTTCGTTTACACTCTTGACAAACATACTTCTTGGCGCGCGCCATCTTTCTTTTTTTGAGGTAGCCAACTTTACCACATACGAATGGAACACCTGATGTTAGGTTCTTGTGGATCTTAAGTAACTTCTCCTAGCTGGAATGAGGCTGGCCAGATCGTCAGAACATCTCCCATGGTAATAGAGAAAGGATAACGACAAGTCGGCCATCTTGCGTCTATGTTCGAGATATTGAAAAACATGGGTGAGAGTTGGATTATCGATAATTTTTATCGCTCTACTTTGCACAGCATCTAATAGATCCAACAAATGCTAGGAAGCATCGCTCCAGATGTGGAACAGTATTTCATACATTGTCTTATTTGAGCATTATAAAGGAGAATAATGGCCGTTTCCACCAACTGTTTTAGAGGAGTCTTAACGATAAGTATTCCTTAAACTAACTTTTCTCCATGTAAAAATGTCATTTTAGGGAATACTCATCGTTAAGGCTCCCCTAAAATAGCAGAAGTTTTTTGCACGGAACAAAAAAACCTAATTTTTGAGAAGCGGTTTTGGCGATCAAACATACATGGACAAGTTGGTCGATGCGGTTACCCCAAGAAGAGATACATACTGAGGGATTAATAGAAAGATTTTGTCCTGACATCCTTAAAACTGGGTTACCATCGGCGGAAGATTTCTTATTTGAGAAGATTTGGAAGCATTGAATTTTACTAGGTTTTTGAGGCCCAAGTTGGTAATGGTGTCAAGATCACTGTTAGTAGAGTGAATCTGCTCTAGGCCGAGGCATGTGGAAGTGGCTGCAGTAAGAAGTTTGTCCGAAGAGAAATATGCCATCAAGCTACCATTGTCCGCAAAGCTGTATATGGGGTCTCTTGCCACATTTAACAAATCATTTATGAAAAAGAGAAACAGTGTTGAGGACAGAATTGAGTCTTGAGGAACGTCGGCATTTGTAGGATCGACCACAACAGGCAGTGATCATCCTTCAAAAAAACTCCCGAGCCAATGGCCAAAGTCGTTTGGAAGACCATACAATGGAAGTTTGCTGAGGAGACCTTTGTGCCACAATTGATCACAAGCGTTGGAGATGTCCAATGTTACAATTTTCAATCCGCCATATTTTTCGAGAGTTGAGTTAGAAATATGACTGACGTACGCCAGCAGATCCCATGTTGATCTTTTAGAACGAAACCCGTACTGTTTGTCAGAGATGAGCTTATTGGCTTCGAGGTATTTAACCAGTTCAGGTCGATTGCATTTTCGATGAATTTCTTATTTCGAAAGTAATCGAAAAAATAGTCAATGAGATGAGACGATAATTCATGAGAAGAGTTTTCTTGCCCTTTCTCGGGATGGGCTACACTCTGTCACATTTCCAGATAGACGAGAAAACGCCTCGACTGAAAACAGTTTGCAAGGACCTGAAGCCAATTCTTGTGCGTAAGTTTTGAGGACAAATGGTGGAACTTTCCTGAAAGTTTTAGATCTAAATAGAAATTTGTCCATGTAAGAACCAATGTGTGGCAGTACCTGTCTCGATTAGTACTTTGGTGTGAGTAAGACTCAATTTGAAAACAAGAAGCACGTTCGAATTTTACAAAATATGAAAAACTTGCATTTTCATTCCTTAGCAATTATTCATATTTTTTCTTCTGGATTGGTTAAAATTCAATAATTATTTTTGTTTGTGACCCTTGTATGAATAATACTGAATTATTGCACAAAAAGAACATACATCATACTTATTAAAAAAAGTTCAATTTCAATTCTCTTTTTTTTTGGAAAATAGTGGAAATTCATTATCTTCTTCTAGCAAAGAAAAACAAAATATTTTGATAGTCAAACTACTTACCCATCTCCATCTAACGTGATCTTCGTATCAGCAAGAACCCTAAGCACCAGCCCGACAGTTGTTTCCTCATTACAGTCGATTCCCAATAGACAAGATTCTTCGCCTCTGCTACCCATCCTGGAAACCACCACCAGGTACCTCGTCCTCACCGGATGTACGCTTTCTAGTTTGACAGCCTAAAACATAAGAGAAAAGTTGTTAGAGATATGATTCAAGCTTTCAAGGTTCGTATTTATTTTGCAATAACAAATAACTGCACTTCTTTCAACACACTAGGTAGGTACTATAAAATTATTATTGTGCCTATAAAGTTTTTTTTTGTTGTCATTACCAGCGTTCATTATTATGAAAGTGGTAACCGTTATTTTGACTTTTATGGGAGCTACATAAAGGTGAAGTCTGTGGTTGTACCGTTTTCGCCATTAGTAGACCAGTAGGGGAGCATTTTTATTCGTTTATCCAAAGCTGCTAACAGACAATAGCTCGTATACCTACGAATTATTATCAATTTTTTTAACCAACATGTCAAAATTATTTATTGCAAATCGTAAACATCGATCCGTTTATGGTCTTGGCTGAATTTCAGAATTACATTAATGTCACAATTTCAACGCAGCCGTATTTGGTTAAGGAGAAACCCATGAGGTTTTATATTCACCGTTATCGCATTTAGTGTATTTTGGGAGAGAAGGTTTATTGATTATCCGGTAGTATTTAATTTTTTTACAGTTTTAACATAAATCGTGGACAAATTATGATGATTGAATTCTTCGAATATCGAATATCATAACATTAATCCTCAGTTGTTTAAACAAATTCAACATCCTGTCACCCGGTCTAATTAAAACAAGTGTAAAGGACAGTTTGTTATCTTCTCTATGGTAATTTTTTTAATTTATATTTCCATACGACCAGATAAGGACGTTCTTTTGTCGTGTCGCAAGACGGTTTTAAGTGAATACTCGGGTTTTGTCGTTTCAATGGAATCTTGAATGCGCCCATTTTCCAAGACCAACAAGATGAATAGGACTAATCCCTTCAGTTTAAACTTTAAATGGAAATTGAATATTTTTATATGTTTGCAACTGCAATATTACTAAGAATCTCACTAACCAATCGGCATCAGCACGATGTTACCCGTTTGTTCATTTCAACTGAACATTGCACAAGCGAATAATCTATTATACCATTTAGAAGCAGATTTCGCAGAACAAGATGGACAAACAAACGTACTGGTTAACAAAGTGCAATAAATAACAAAATGTCGACACATCCTCTCTTCGATTCAGTTCGATGCAAAATTTATTTCGTTTGCCCGCCAAACCGTGAAGACCTACTTTTGTCTGACTCAACAACATCTTTACTGATAGATCCGAATGAGAGATTTCAAGTGGGAAATCTCGAGGTTGGACGAAGTGTAATCATATTTACTTTTGCAAGAATCGAAGCACGAATTGTTAGCAAGTAAATTATTGAAGAATATTTGTGTTCCCTGCAAAAATATTGGCTTTTGCAGGATGTTATATCTTCTTACTGCAGGGCAGGGTGTGTTCTATGTTGGAGCATGATACTGAGTTTTCGTAGCAAAAGTTAAAAAAAGATCCAACTATTGTAGCATTATGTAAACAGTGACGCTGAGAAATTGAGTATTCTTGCAATAAGACTCAATAACGTGAAAAGCAGAGCTGCAAATTAAACCAGATTCCCACGCAGTTGGGACTATAGATACATGAAAAATACCTTTTTTTTTCACTCTTGGAACATCCTTAGGAAATTCAAGAGAATACAATTATTTATGCAGTCCATCAAGATAACAATTAGGTACGTTTCTTCTATACGAATTGAAAGATGTAAATAAACGACAAAAATTTGAGTGGAACCAATTTGTGTGCTTGGAAACTTGATGTTGTCATTGTTACCTTCATAGTGTTCCGTTATGCTCGTTCTGAGCACGTATTTGTACATTCTAATAAATATCTTGCAAAAATTATGTATGTACACGTGATTTTAAACCTTAAAATAAAGCAATGAAAAAGAAATAGGTCTTCTGATTTGTGTTATTTTGCTTCAGAAAAATATAATCAGTAATATAAGGCTAAGGTGAGAAAAATAATGAAATAAACGAAACTGTACACTAACATAAATGAGATTGGTATGGATGTAATTAGAAATCCTTATTGAGCCCATATCGTTACACAACCTCATTTACTATCGAAAGTAAAGACAAAATAATCATAATTACATTACAGCGAATATTACCTAAGAATCCGTGAGTACGTGCAGAGGCCTGATTCAATAACAATTAATACGGAACGTGTCATACAATGTTATGGTTTTATGGTAAAATAACATTTAGAATTCACGCCTTGGCAATCTCAGTGAAAGTGTTTCGGAGGGGCACGTGAACAGGCTGAAAGACACAAAACAAATCAAAATGCGTGGCAGGGAAAAAATTATATTGTCGCTTGCACCCGGAAAACTGCCAACATAAAGACAATGCGAAGGTTTTGTTACGGTCGTGGTGTTATTACGAAATATGTGGCGGAACAAGTTTTACCCTGTGAAAAGTGAAAACGATAATCATTATTGCAGAATAATAGTAGATCACTGACAAAATAAACACAGAGGCTTGCTTGCTGTTTGCATCCAGTCGTTTAAAATGTAATTTGACTCTACGTCATAGGTACATGATAGAGAGGTTTATTTTTCCTCCTGATATCTGATTCGCAATAATTGAAATGATTATTTTATAATGCACATTAGGGAAATGCAAAATATTAAATATATAAGTATTATACCTATCTATAAATGGGAATTTACTTTTCCGGTGTTTATAAACTAATTTGTGCTATTATGCAACGTTTTATAAAATCCATCCCATCATATGAGTTTTGCATATTTTCCACATGAAACCTATCTGACAATCTCATCTTGAATCTAGTTGCTATGGAAATGTATGCAAATAAAATAATGTTGTCATCCAGAATTACTATATATTTTTTATCATTTTGTAGTTTGATCATTAAGAATAAACTAACAAAAAGGTCAATGCATTTTTGTCACATAAAACGAACATAATATTATAAATAAGTAGTTTATTTATTTGCAATAATCAGTTAATTAAATATGATGATAAGCCAATTAAAATAACCAATAAGTGGCTTAAAAGTTTATAATTATTCATTTGTTTTTGCTCCTAAAAATTCTGATAATAGAACGACTGTATTGCGAGAATCCGGAAAGTACTGCCTAAATCATCCTCATAATTAGATTTTTATGACCCATAGGCGTCCGATAATTTTTGGTAAATTTATAATCTTAAAGCAGAGGCAGTATTGTTGTAATAATATATCTTTGAGTTCCGTAATAGTTATATACCAGAAAGCTGTTCATTAACGGTAAAATATTTCAAATATGTATTTAATTTTCATTCATTGGACCTAGAAACGATCGAAAGTGCGTGAATTTTTTAATCTTAGAAATGCTTAATGAATGAATTTTGTGCGATGGAGACTATATTTGAATAGGCTTCCTCAATCATCAGCATCCTACCAACCAGTAATCAAGTATGGTTCAAATAACCGGAATGTGACCAGAAACGATGAAAGTCGGAGTCGGGTTATCAAAGAAGAAGAAGAAATAGACGAGAACTAATCAATCAAAAGAACAATACTGTTACGATATTGAATCGGTGCCGAGAAGCCCTGGAAATTGGTTATATACGTTAAAGACCCAATCGCCAGTATTCCGAAATTCTATATTCTATGTTATTTGAATGGAAAAACAAGAAAACATTATAGAAGACAGACATGGGATATTGCGTGTGGCGGAAAATTTTGACAAGGAACTATACCACGCAAAAAGCAACAACGAAAATAACAAACAAGAAACCGAAAGCGAAGCATCCAAAATTCTAAATGTTGGGTCAGAGGAGATCGCTGATATAGAAAAGGAAGAAATTGCAAAAACTCTAAGCCAATTAAACAACGGAAAAGCCCCAGAAATGGACGATATACTACCAGAAATGCTGAAGGAGGCAGGAGAATACCTTGTAAAATAACTGAAAACACTTTTCAATGAATGTCTAAAAGAGAGGAAAATACCACACGACTGGGAGACTGCCATCGTCGTTCTGATATTCCAAAAAGGCGACCCATCAAATCTTGAAAACTATAGACCCATAAGCCTCCTTTCTCAGATGCACAAACTGTTTATGAGAATAATCACCAACCGCCTAGAAAGGAAATTTGATGATTACCAACCTAAAGAACAGGCAAGCTATAGAAAGAGTTACAGTACTATATAACATCTTCACACAATAAGAATACTAAATGAAAAGACATACATGACATAACATTACAACATGGTTAACATTCATCGATTTAAAGAAAACCTTCGACACTGTCGAATTCTGGGCGATAGGAAGAGCTATGAGAAATGCACGAATAGATCAGCAATATATAAACATAATCAAAAATATTCAAGGAGCAACAAAAATAAAATTAACGATGCATGAAGATACAAACGAAGTAAAGATCAAAAGAGGCGTAAGATAGGGCGATATATCACCTAAGCTGTTCACCCTAGTTCTCGAAGATGTGTTCAAGGAACTATATTGGGAAAATAGAGGGATCAATATATCTGGAAAAAACCTCAATAATTCAAGATTCGCTGATGACATCGTAATATTCGCCCCGAACGAAACAGACTTAGAAATCATGCTGAAAGGATCACTCCAAGAAGCCAAGAAGATCGGATTAGAAATGAACGTATCAAAAACAGAGTTTGCGTGATGCGCGTCCTTATATTTCAAATGCTTTTAGAAATATAAGGACGCGCAGACCGCGCTCTCGCCACCCTTATTGATGTCGGAATGCCATGACGCTATTCGACATAACAGCTATGACGTAATTTTCGGGCGGTAAATTATAGCGTTTAAAATAAGTACAATTTTTTTTTAGGTATATTTTTGTTTTCTAAAATCAAAGAATCATCAACTACTAAAAATTCGCGAGACATATTTATCCATAGAAATAAAACTTTGGGGAAGGAAGGAGATTAATCCTTACTCATGTTGCAAGTGAAAATGTGTTTGTTCCAGCCCAATCAGACTCAAGACTACCACGTCGAGGATAAGAATCAGTGTTGCCGACTTGGTAAAATAATTACCAGATCT